ACATTCTCTAGTCCTTCAGCTAGAAATCTGAGTTGCATACTGTGATCTGTCTCTTTCTAATTATGTGGTCTTAGGCAAGTTATTCTTTCTGTGTCTCAGTTCCCTGGTCTATAAAATGGACTTGATGGTATATGTACCACACAAATGTTTGGAACAATGCCTGGTCATGTAAAGGTTATTGTTTGTTTTGTTTTATCAACAACAACAAGAACAACAACAACAAAAAGTAGAGATCCTAGTTTCTGTAGAATGGTTGGACAGACAGCTCAAAATGTTAGCTACATTCCATGATCCCCTTGTAAGAATTTCTCTTTAGGAAACAGTCATATTCATATGAGTGGAGGATCAGCACTAGGCTAAGAATATCAGCACTAGGCTGTTAGTGAGCAATGGGAAGCAAGCAAAATTCAGTCATTAGTGGATTGGCAACGTAGTTCAACCATTGAAAGTGGTTACATTGAAATAATCTATAACTTCTTAGGTGCAAAATGCCTGTGCCTTATTCTTTTGCTTTTCCATCCTTGAAAATTTCATAGTAGGCTCAATGTATTGAACAAATATCAAATTGATAACAATTATACATAAAAGATAAACTTTAAAAGCTGCAGATTATCCAAGGCCAATGTTACTTTCAAGTTTCTTCAGAGTTAGGACTTGGACTGTCTCTTCTTATGTTCTTGATTTACTTGCTTTGTTAAACATGTCAAACTTTACTTAACCTTTTCTGCAGCAATGAAAAGATTATTGGGCAGCACCATCCAATAGAAATATAATGCAAACTTTATATGTAATTAAAATTTTTTTTTTCCGAGACAGGGTCTCATTCTGTTGCCCAGGCTGGAGTGCAGTCGTGCAGTCAGCTCACGGCAGCTGTGAACTCCTGAGCTCAAGCCATCCTCCTGCCTCAGCCTCTTGAGTGGCTAGGACTACAAGTGAACACCAGCATGCACAGCTGGTTTTTTTGTTGTTTTTTTTTTTGAGTTGGAGTCTCACTCTGTCACCCAGACTGGCATGCAGTGGCCGCTCCCGGCCACCGCAGCCTCGGCCTGCTGGGCTCTGGCGATCCTTCCGCCTCAGCCTTCCAAGTAGCCGGAATTACAGGCATGCGCTACCACGCCCGGCTGATTTTTTGATTTCTTGTAGAGATGAGGTCTCGCTGCCCAGGCGGGTCTCGTACCCGTGGGCTCAGGCATTCCACTCACCTCAGCCTCCCAAAGGCACGGGATTACAGGCTGAGCCACCGAGCCCGGCGCACAGCTGATTTTAAAAATTTTTTTGTAGGTAGGGTTTTGCTATATTGACCAGGCTGGTCTTGAACTCTTGGCCTTCAGCTATCTGTCTGCTTCAGCCTCCCAAAACGCTGGGTTTATAGGTGTGAATCACTGCACCTGGCCTAATTTAAAATTTTCTAGTAGTTCTATTTTAAATAAACAGGTAAAATTAATTTTAATGTGTTTATTTACTCACTATATCTAAAATCACTTCAACTTTGTATTTTCAGTATGAAGATATTAATGAGATTTTTTTTGTACTTTCAGCACACCTCAGCATGGGGTAGCCACATGTGGCTAGTGTCTAGCAGCTAAAATATCAAACAGCGCAGTTATTGAGGGAGCAGCCCCACTCTGGTTGGTTTGGCCTCCATTCACACTCTTCCTTTCCCACCTCTTGAAATGAATGAGGAGATGATCTTAGCAAAGGCTACTGCACCACCAACTCTAGGTTCCTTCTCTTCCTCCTGGCTCCATGCATTTTCTTTAGATGTTCCCTGTACTGTATTCTTGGCCTCTCCCACCCTATGTATATCTTCTATTCATGCTCAGATCACTCCCATCTTTTTATTATTATTTTTTCCTGAGTCAGAGTCTTACTCTGTTGCATGGGCTGGAGTGCAGTGGTATACTTACGGCCACAATAGCTTTGACCTGCTGGGCTCAGGTGATCCTTCCGCCTCAGCCTTCCAAGTAGCTGGAACCACAGGTGTGTACCACTACAGGCCCAGCTAATTTGATTTGTTGTAGAGACAAGGTCTCGCCAAGTTGCCGAGACTGGTCTCGAACCCCTGGGGTCAGGCATTCCTCTCGCCTCCCAAAATTGCTGGGATTATAGGCGTGAGCCACTGTGTCTGGCTCACTCCCATCTTTAAGGAGAAGCCTTCCTGTGCCCTGCATTTGTTTGTTTCTACTCTTCCCTAGTAAAACTTCATTAAAAAGTTAATCTGTATTCTCTCCATTTTGCTCCCTCCTATTCTATGAGTCCTCTGTTGACAAGCTGCTGCTTATTTTCACTACACCACAACTGCTAGGGCTCCTAGTAACTTTTTTGTCATTAAATCCAATAGATGGTTTTCAGTTTTTCCTACTTTATCTTGTAGTAGCATTTATTATTTTGACCCATTTTATATTTCTCTTGGTTTATGTGACACTACTTACCTGCTAACTCCTTTGATGCCCTGTCCACATGGCAACCAGAATATTTCTTCTAGAAAGCAAATCTGATTATTCCCCTTGTAACCCTTTAGTGACAATCACTCTATTAGTAAAGTCCACAATTTTTTTCATAAGTTCCTCCAATATTAGTCATATCTTTAATTCAAATGTAGTATAAATCTTGAGTGATGTGTTTATTTATGCCTATGGCATACCGAACCACTTTTTGTCTTGAGACCTAAGAAGACAGCATAGTGTAATGGGAAGGTCTTAGAAAAGAGAGCTGCCTTGCCCTCTTATCATATTATATGACTGGCTGTAGGTGGTCATTGGTCTCTTCCTTTCTTTCCTTACTTACAAAATGGGGATGATTCCTGCTTTCTAGTTTGTAATAGGTGTAAAAATCAAGTGATCTGATGTGTCTGAAAGTGTTTTGAAAATTGAAAGTACTATATTTGTTGGAAGATTTAGCAGTGGAACACTTAACATGGATGTACACTTGTTCCAGAAGAAATTTGCCATTGGGTTATTCCAAAAAATTTCATTTGAAATCTTCAAAATTTTATTTATGAAGTAAGCATATGAAATCATGTAACTAAGATGGCATATACACATTACTTTAGAAGACAAGCTGGTCTTATAATTTACTGCATCAATAGATTAAAAGGGAGAAAGTATATGATTCTTTTCAGAGATGCTGAAAAGACGGAATAGATAGAAATTTCTTCAGCACCATAAATGTGTCTGTTTTAACCCCCAAACCACCATGATGCAAATGGGGAAACATTCCTGTTAAAGTTAAGAACAATCCAAGGATATTGTTATTTATCATTTTTCTGGAGGCAATTGGAAAACAGATTTTTATATATACAGTCCTGTCTCACTTAACGGTGTGGATACCATCTGAGAAATATGTCAGGCGATTTTGTCACTGTGTAAAACATCATAGTGTACTTGTAAACCTAGGCGACCTAGCCTGCTGCATACCTAGGCTCTACGGGATAGCCTAGGCTACAAATCTACATAGCCGTGTTGTTGTACTGACTACTGTAAGCAATTAGAACACAATGGTATTTGTGTGTCTAAACATATCTAAGCATAGAAAAAGCACAATAAAACTATGATATAGAAGGTAAAAAAAAAAAATGATACACCTTTATAGGACACTTAGCCATGAATAGAGCTTGTGGGACTGGGCGTTGCTCTTGGTGAATCAGTGAGAGAGTGGCAAGTGAATATGAAGGCTTAGGACATTACTGTAGACTTTATAAACACTGTGCACTTAGTACACTAAGTTTATTTATAGAAAATTTCTTCAGTATAAAAAAATTAACCTTACTGTAACATTTTACTTTATGAATTTCTCGATTTTTTTTAACTTTTTGACTCTTGTAACTATACTTAGCTTAAAACACATTGTATAGCTTTACAAAAATACTTCATATATTTTTACTTTTTAAGCTTTTTGATTAAAAACTAAGACACAATGCACACATTAACTTCAATCTACACAGTGTTAGGATTATCAAACATCAGTAGGCGATAGGAATTTTTCAGCTCCATTATAATATGAGAGTTTGTCATATACGGTCTATCACTGACTGAAATATCATGTGGTACATGACTATATAAATTTTAAAGGAGGTAAAATTTTGATAGTATGTCAGTCAGAATTTGTTTTCTTATATTATTATAAATTGCATGTAAGTTCCCAGAGTAGCCAACAAAAATGTACTTGACCTAAAGCGTGACTGAACTGTGCTATTAAAAATACAATAGACTCTTTAGTCTTCCTTTATAACATTGTTCACATAAAAATTCTTTCTGGTAATGTACTATGGATAGTATTAGAAGAAATAGAAATATAAAATTAGTTATTGTCCTTGAGAGAGTCACAATTTAAGGGAGAGACAATTATTTTTCCTTCAAAAATGTTTTAATAAAGATAGTGTATTAATATCACAACTGAATAACACGAGGAATAAATATTGTGTGGATTGCTCACGTTCGCAGTTACAGGTAACCTCCCAATTTTGCAGTGCCCATGCCCACAAAATGATAACAATAGTACTGCCTCATTGGGTGGTTGTAAAGAATAAAGATGTTATCTGGGTGTGGTGGCTCATGCCTGTAATCCCAGCCCTTTGGGAGGCAGAGGTGAGAGGATTGCCTGAGTCCAGGGGTTTGAGACCAGCGTACGCAAATTTGTGAGACCTCATCTCTACAACAAATAAAAAAAATTATCATGCGCCTGCAGTTCAGTTGAGGCTGCAGTTGCTGTGAGTGTTGCCACTGTACTCCAGCCTGGGTGACAGTGAGACTCCAACAAAAAAAATGGGTAAAGATGTTAATACATGAAAACCACCAAGAACAATGCTTAAGTCTTTTTTCAGTGCAGCTCAAGAAATAGGAGTGGGGAACGTCAGTCCCCTTCTGGTTCTGTGCTGCACCAGTGGAAGTGACATGCCAGGGCCAGGCTGTTCTGTGTAAAGGGCCCGGGTCATTGAGGAGGACTTGGTGGTTGCCCAAGGTTTCCTATCAAAGCATGAACAGTACTGTTGATAGTGTGCTTTTGTTGTTACTCCAGGTCTGGTGAGCTGTACCTTCTTTCTAGCAGTGAATGGTCTGTATTCTTCTAGTGATGATGTAATTGAATTAACTCCATCAAATTTCAACCAAGAAGTTATTCAAAGTGATGCTTTGTGGCTTGTAGAATTCTATGCTCCGTGGTAAGTATTATAAAATAGTTGCAGATTATTTATATTTATAGTACTTTAAAAACTGGGGAAAATGCTATTTAAAAATCCGATTTTATTAAGTCACCTGGTTTAACTACCTTACATTTATTTAAAAGAAGAAAAGGAGAAAGAAGTGGGAAGCACAAAGCATCTAGTCTGTAAAGGCCAAAGAGATTGAGTCTGGGTTTTAAGGTGTTTAAAACAGCTAATTGTTGCAAGAAAGAAACCTTATCAATCTATCCTTTAATGAGGTGATGCGTATGGATACGAAACTAATTTTATGAAGAAAGAATCTTGAGGAAAGGGAAGAAACAGTGATTTTGACTCTATTTGTTTCTTGAAGAGAATTGTTTCCTGAAATATGTAGTTAGAAAATCTGGTTTAGGCAGGGTGTGGTGGCTCAAGCCTGTAATCCCAGCATTTTGGGAGACCAAAGCTAGAGGATTGCCTCAGCCCAGGGATTCAAGACTAGCCCAGGCAACTTGGCAAGACCTCATCTCTATAAATAAACCCCCAAATTAGCAGGGCATGGTGGCACACGCCTGTGGTTCCAGCTACTTGGAAGGCTGAGGTGGAGCCCAGCAGGTCTAGGCTGCGGTGGCCATGAGCATGCCACTGCACTCCAGCCTGGGCGGCAGAGTGAGACTCCAACTCAAAAAAAAAAGAAAAAGAAAATCTGGTTTAATTTAAAAATTCTTCTCTTGATTTCCATTCAATGCTGGAAAAATCCTGGTGGGGTAAAAATGTAATCACTATTGAAATTAATGGTGCACAATTATATATAGTATTGTACTAATTATTTGTGTAGTTGAAGCATTTAATGCCCCCCCCAAAAAAACCCACAAATAGAAAAGTAGAAACAAACATATTAGTGGAAGTGATGAGACATATACGTGAGATTGTGTCTGCTGAAACCAGCAGGCCACAGTGTCCTGTGGAGAACCAGTCCCCAGCCAGCTGTGCATCTGTGAAGATGAACTCGATGGTGATCTGAAATCCAAAGGAGTCCTTGTAAATGTGAACAGTGCCTTGTAAGCTTACGGAAGGGGTATGAAGTGAGTTTCTTACACTCAAATTCTTATGACAGGAATGGGTGCATTTTAGGGTATGCCTAATGAAAATTTTTCCTTTATTGCCTTAATTTTTTGCTGTGAAACTTAGTTTTGGAACTAAGCACTAGTCCTCATGGGCTTTCACTCAATGTTCAGTGTACCAATTTTTTTTTTTTTTTTTTTGAGTTGAAGTCTCACTCTGTTGCCCAGACTGGAGTTCAGTGGCCGCTTCCAGCCACCACAGCCTCGACCTGCTGGGCTCCGGCGATCCTTCCGCCTCAGCCTTCCAAGTAGCTGGAATTACAGGCATACGCTACCACGCCCGGCTGATTTTTCGATTTATTGTAGAGATGAGGTCTCGCTACCCAGGCGGGTCTTGAACCCGCGGGCTCAGTCAATCCACTCACCTCAGCCTCCCAAAGGCGCGGGATTACAGGCTGAGCCCCCGAGCCCGGCTCCAATTTTTTTTTTTTAAGAGACAGAGTCATCACTCTTGTCTCCTAAAAAAGAGAGCAGTGGCATGATCATAGCTCACTGCAGCCTCAAACTTCTGGGCCCAAGTAATCCTCCTGCCAATCTCCCAAAATGCTGGGGTTACAGACATACATCACCATGCCTGGCTAATTTTTTTTTTTGGTAGAGGCAGGATCTTGCTTTGCTGTCCAGGTTGTTCTCGAACTTCTGGCTCCAAGCGATTCTCCTGCCTTGATTGTTGTAGCCAGTTAAAGTTAAAACTCTATATGTTAAATTTATGCTGCCACATTGTGAATCCTGTTCACCTTAATTCCTTTTTAAAGGCTCCGATTTTTTATTGTTAAATTCAAATGCTAATTCTGTAAGAGTTAGCTCAATTATATTGATAAATGTACAAATAGTAATTGTGCAAACTGCTGTATTGTTGAATGCCTTTGTATACCATTTGTACACGTTTGACTTATCATTTTTAGCAAGGGTAATATGCCTTGTTTCTGAAAGCTACAATGCAAGAGAATATGCCTCATTCTAAAACTATAACAGACAGCATAATGAGAAGGCAGGATTTGGATCTAGTAATTAATTTTCCTTATTACAGTGGCAGAGTTTTACTTCATAGTAGTCTGAATAAGAGAATATCTAATTTGAGCAGATGCTTTTAACTTTTATGCTTGGACTCCTTTCGCAATGTGATAAAGACTTTGGATTCTTTCTTAGAATAAAGGTTTTACATTTTTAAATAAGGCATGTAAGATCATAAAGAAAACCTAAAATATTGAAATATGGCTATAAATATTAAAATAAATATTGATGTGTTAATCTAGTATTTCTTTGCTAGTACAGCAAATGCAGATTGAGTATCTCTAACCAAAATATTTGGGGCCAGAGGTATTACAGACTTCATATTGTATTGAGTTTTGGAATATTTGCATTTTATTTACTTGCCAGTAGTGCATCTTTAATCTGAACATCTGAAATGCTCCAATGAGCATTTCCTATGAGTGTCATATACTCAAAAATTTTTGGATTTTGGAGCATTTCAGATTTTGGATTTGGGGATTAGGGATACTCAACCTGTACCAAGATCCAGCAGCAGCTCTGACAGCTACCATAATTCAGAGTAGTGATGAACATAAACAATGCTTTAAAATATCTGCAACAACTACAGTGTGGTTATGAGAATAGCTGTCCTTTTCATTTGTGATAAAGTCACAAGTACTCATCAACTGTGGAATATTGTTAATTTTCATAACTGGAAAAAATTCTAAATTTCAATTACAGGCTAGTGAAATAGAGACTTTCCCCCATCTGAGTTTATAGACCCCTCTGCAATTTTTTTTTTCTTTCCTTCTTTTTTTTTTTTTGAGTCAGAGTCTCACTGTTGCCCAGGCTGGAGTACGGTGGCATGCTAACGGCTACTGCAGCTTTGACCTGCTGGGCACAGGCAGTCCTTCTGCCTCCCCTTCCAAGTAGCCAGAAATTCAGGCATGCACCACCACACCCATTTAATTTTTTAAAATGTATTTTAGTGACATGATCTTACCAAGTTTCCCAGGATGATCTTGATCCCCCAGGTTCAGGCAATCCTCGCCTCTGCCTCCCAAAGTTTACAGGTATAAGCCACTGTGTCTGGCCTTCTTTATTTATTTATTCCTAAAGGGGGCCCCTAAATTTTTATCCACCAACCCTTTGGGAGTCTGGACTCCGGGTGAAAACTCCAGGATTAGAGTGTGTGCTATATTTACATTTATGTGGTATTTTGATCTACCCACAGGTCAAAGTTGCCTAACACAAATAGAAGGAATTTCACTTAAATCAGTCTCTGATTTGAGTCCTCCTTTCTTAGATAAACTGAAATTAAAGAGGCACAAAACCCTACACAAATTTGACTCCTGGACTTCTAAGCATCTCACCAAAGCAACAAATATGCTAATATAAATATGTAGAAGTAGCATTTCAGGACATTCCCCTTCAAATATCAAATATTGGAATTGAGATTAAGATTGAGTAAAGTGATATTACATAGGGATTAAGAATGAGGTGTTTGGCCGGGCTCGGTGGCTCAGCCTATAATCCCGCGCCTTTGGGAGGCTGAGGTGAGTAGATTGCCTGAGCCCGCGGGTTCGTGACCGCCTGGGCAGCGAACCTCACCTCTACAATAAATCAAAAAATCAGCCGAGCGTGGTAGTGCATGCCTGTAATTCCAGCTACTTGGAAGGCTGAGGCAGAAGGATCACCGGAGTCCAGCAGGTCGAGGCTGCGGTGGCTGGGAGCAGCCACTGCACTCCAGTCTGGGTGACAGAGTGAGACTCCAACTCAAAAAAAAAAAAGAATGTGGTGTTTGTGTAAAAACCTTGTCGGCTCTGGCACTGGATGGTTATGTGACAGTGGGTAAATTTCTTAACTTTGCAGAATCAATTTTGTCATCTGTAAAATGAAAACAGTTTTTTCAACTTTATGCTGATAAAATGAAATCCTCTAAAAAATTTTCATCGTGGTACTAGCACATGGCATTTGTTCATTTGGTCCTTAGAGACCTAATTAGAATTTATTTTTAAAAGTATGTCAAGTCACCAGTGGATATCTGCATACAGTGGATGTTACAGAGCAATAAAAGTGAACGGTATCACTTAACATCAGTGAGTAGGAAAATCCTAATGGCTTTGTGTGCATATAATTTTTGAGAAGCATTTTTCTGTGTGGTATTTCCCAATATGGTCTAGATACTACATCTACAAGGTTATGGTGGTTTTTCCTTGTGTCCTTGTCTTTGCTCCATCTCCCTCCCTTCTTCCTCTCCTCTCTCTTCCTCAGTTCATCACCATCTGTGTCGTGTCATGTACTTTTCACCTTGTCAGGCTCACTAACTTGGGTTTATGTATGTGTTTCTAACTCTAGAAGCAATTTGTGAGAGCCAGAGAGGGATATAGGCACAGGAGATCTAGGCCAGGTGCTTCATCTGTAAAATGGAAAGGTTGGACTAGATCGGGAAACATCAAATCTTAATAGGAAGTTTGAGTTTGTAGGGCCAAAAATCTACATGTTGCCTAACCTTGCAATTCCACACATTGAGGCACACTGGACCAGATAGATTCTGAAGGGCCAGTTCAGGTAGAGTTACAAATGAACTCTTTAAATATGATTTAATTGAATAATAATTTAGACACTTTTTATCAGTGCTTATCTTTGCAAGCCCAGCCCCAGTGCATCTCACTCAGTAGACCATTATTTATTTTTAAGGTGAGAAAGTAGGGTTTATTAAAAAGACAGAAAAGCTCCCACAGTGGGAGGGGACCTGAAAAAGGTTGCCCAGTAGATGTATTGTAACAAATTTCTGAGTTTTTTCAGTTGAAGATCAAAGGTTTTAACTGTTTCCTTATTCCCCCCAAAAGGTGTGGTCACTGCCAAAGATTAACACCAGAATGGAAAAAAGCAGCAACTGCATTAAAAGTAAGTTTCTAAAATGTCCACATTCACCTACACTTGTTTAAATTAGTATGTAGATAGATTTAATGTCCAGTAGGAATCTAACTTGTGTATCAAAGTTCAAAATACTATTTCTGTTGCCAAAATCATGTAGAGAACAAGGGGATAATATGCTTTTTTTTTTTTGAGTCGGAGTCTCACTCCGTTCCCCAGGCTGGAGTGCAATGGCACGCACACAGCTACTTCAGCCTCAGCCTACTGGGCCCAGATGATCCCTCCAAACAGCAGGAACCCCAGGCACGTGCCTCTACACCTGCATAATTTTTTGATTTCTTGTAGAGACAAGGTTTCACCAAATTGCCCAGTCTGGTCTCGAACCCCTGGGCTCAGGCAGTCCTCTCACCTCTGCCTCTCAAAGTGCTAGATTACAGACACGAGCTACCTTGCCTGGCCACACATTTTAATTTTAATTTTTGTTTGTTCTGTTTCTCAAATAAATGACATGATTACTTCCAGCCATGCTGCTTCTGTGAGCTGCAGAGTTCCCTCCGTGGGCTGACTTAACTTACACTCATTCCATTTAAGATTCTATTCTGGTATTCAAGGCTGAAGCCCTTGTTGACTCCTGTTGTAAATTTCACCCTCCTTTTTTTTTTTGAGTCTGTCGCCCAGACTGGAGTGCAATGGCATGCTCACGGCCACCGCAGCCTCGACCTGCTGGGCTCCGGCGATCCTTCCGCCTCAGCCTTCCAAGTAGCCGGAATTACAGGCATGCACTACCATGCCCGGCTGATTTTTTTGATTTATTGTAGAGATGAGGTCTCGCTGCCCAGGCAGTTCTTGAACCCGCGGGCTCGGGCAATCCACTCACCTCAACCTCCCAAAGGTGCGGGATTACAGGCTGAGCCACCGAGCCCGGCGTCACCCCCCTTTTTATTACCTTGTCTCTGATTCTACATGAAGCAGATGATGAGTTCTTGTAGAATCTGCTCTAGTTGAAAGAAAAATAGATATTTTATATTTCCACAGGATGTTGTAAAAGTCGGTGCAGTTGATGCAGATAAACATCAGTCCCTAGGAGGTCAGTATGGTGTTCAGGGATTTCCTACCATCAAGATTTTTGGATCTAACAAAAATAGACCAGAAGACTACCAGGGTAAGGACTTTTCCCAACTCATCTATTCCTTTGGTAGGAAAGAACCTAGGATTCTGTAACTTGTTAGCTCTGCTACCGGCAAATTTTGCAACTTCTTGTACCTGAATTTACTTATCGATAAATAGTGCAATGAAGACCCAAGTTGTTCTGAAGACCCACCCTTTGCACTCGGAATCATCTCATGGATCACCTACCAGAACTCGACCATACTTTTATACAAAATATTGAAAAATGAGTCACTTCATATTAAATAGTATAGCATTGGAGTATTTGACTTATGGATTTTGGACATTGAGGAACTTTATGACAAATCAGAATTTTATGTCATATTTTTCTAACGTGAAACAGTCACCGACATTGATTGCAGGTTCATCGATACATGTTGTGCAATAGTAATTTGATCTCTTGCAGCTGGTATTTTTCTGTTTGAGCAGACAATGCAGTCTCGTTTTCTTTCTCCCACATCAATAATATGTAGTTTATTGTCCAGGTTGTGCAGCACTGTGAAAGCACTTCTTACATTCTCTTTCTACATAACACCAGCTGATGTTTTTTTACCTATATCTCAGTATATAGTCCATCTTTTTATTTGCTTTCTCATGCAATTTAAATGGAAAACTTTAAGGAAACATACATTTTTGAAAAATTTACACTGGCATAAGTTCATCCTGTATAATTAGCAAGCTCTTTATGTCTCCTGAAAGGGAACATCCTAGTGGTTTTCTAGATTTACAATGTCACCTCAGAGTACAAAGGGTTAAATACTCAGGATGCCAAAAACATGTATACACATTTTAAGAAAGGAAAAAAACTGTATTAAAATTGTAATACTCAATGTATACTATAACAAAAGATGAATACAAGTCACATTTGACTTCTGCAATTACAAGAAGTACTCCAAGTGGTTACCATCAGCGTCCAGACACTTCTGATTACAATGAGCATAGCAGAAGCAGGACTTGTTGCTGTCCTTCAAGATCCCAGATCGTTCCTGTTCACATCACACACAGTACCATTCGTCTCAAACTTATCACAGATGTGTGCAGTTGTTAGGTGTGTTGGAGTTTCTGTTGCGTACTCACGTCACCATTGTTGTACTTCCACAACATTCTTGTATTTCAAATACCACTTCAAACTGATCTTAGCTCCTCAAATGACAACGATGCTTCCGCCATTTTTTTTGACTGTCCTGCCTGTCTTACAGTGATGTTAGCCTTCCTTTGATTAACACCATCTTTTAAGCAAACGTCATACTACATATTGCTATCATATTTCAATTCAACTTTGAAAAGTAATATATAAATAACACTACTTAAAATGTGTATATGTTTTTTTGGCACCCCTGGTATGTCATACAGTTAAAAGTTTTGTATAGCCATTTATGTTGGCTCAGGCTCACAGTGCCTTACCAATGCACTGTAGAATTCACAGTGCCTTACCAATGCACTATAGAATTCTGGCTCCTGCTGAGCACAGTGGCTCACACCTGTAATCCCAGCACTTTGGGAGGCAGAGGAGAGAGGATTGCCTGAGTCCAGGGTTCTGAGTCTAGCCTGGGCAACTTAACAAGACCTCATCTCTACAATAAATCAAAAAATTAGCCAGGTGTGGTGGCACACGTCTGTGGTTCTGGCTACTTGGAAGGCTGAGGTGGAAGGATTGCCTGAGCCCAGCAGGTCAAGGTTGCAGTGGCCATGAGCATTTCACTGCACTCTAGCCTGGGTGACAGAGTGAGACTCTGGCTCAAAAAAAAAAAAAAGCTGGCTCCAGACTCCCAAGACTAAATGTTACTTCAGTCACACTATCTTTTTTTTGGAGACACAGCCTCACTATGTTGCCCATGCTGTACTTGAACTGGGCTCAGACAGTCCTCCTGCCTTAGCCCCCCCGTAGCTGGAACTATCTGTGCCATGCTGTTCTTTTATGGAATAGTACTATTATTTAAGATATCCCAAAGGGGTTATCATATTTAAGATAATCAGAATTGCTAGGTTGGGCCGGATCTATTGCCCTAATAAAAGTATTGGGCGAAATATATTTTTTTGTTTGTTTGGATTTTGGTTTTTTGGGGTTTTTTTGAACTGGCATCTTATTCTATCACCCAGGCTGGAGTGCAATGGCACGCTTATGGCTACCGCAGCTTCAGCCTGCTGGGCTCAGGCAATCCTTCCACCTCAGCCTTCTAAATAACTGGAACCACAGGCACAACACCATGCCTGGCTAATTTTTATTTTATTTATTGTAGAAACAAGTTCTCGTTAAATTGTCCAGGCCCCCCTCCGCCTTCCAAAGTTGGGAGTACAGGCATAAGGCTCCCAGCCTCATAATGTATTTAAAACTTAAATTATGACTAATTCGATCATCAGTGTTTTTAAGATTTTGTTACATGGGACATGTAAGTGACTGACTTGTCTTCCATCTTAGGTTTTGCTTTATGTGGACATTTACAAACTTTTGTGTTGGGTAGGGGAATCAGCATCACAGTAAAACAAAGAGACGTTGTATTGTCTGTCCTTGGTGTCTTGCCTGGGTCCAGCTGATAGAAAGAAAGCAGGGAAGGCGGAGGGGATGTAAAATCTGTGGTGTGAATTTGGAGGGCAGTTCCTGCTGGTGTAACTGCTGGCCTCTCCACACTTGCTTCTCTGTAAAATGTGGAAACCTCTTGTAGGCTACCAGGAACCTAATTGAAGCAGTATGTGTAAAGCATGTGAGACTAACACTTAGTTGGTAACCAAAGTCATTAGCACATCTCTGAGCTCAGGGTCAGAATACCTGGAGATTGCAGGCTTGGACACATTGTCTCTGCTAGACTTCCCATCCCTAAAGTTTTAGGGAAGGATTGCTTTTCTTTTTCGGAGTAACATCTGCTTTTCTACTTTTGAATAATTTGTTATAATTTTGCTAACTTGCAAAACTCTGCATGCTTCGCACATTCAGCCTGCTGCTGTTTTTACAAAGTCTTTGGGAACACAGCCCTCCCTGCCTGTTTGTCTACATATTGTCTATGGCTGTTTTCACACTAGAACAGCAGACCTGAGTAGTTAAGATGGTGTGGCCCACAGAGCTGAAAATATTGACATCTGGCTCTTTAAAGGAAGAATTTGCCAACCACCAGTACAGAGGGAGAAACTCCTTCATTTCTTAGTATATTTCTCAATTTGGCATATGTCCAGATAAAGATTGGGGGAAGGGACACTGGTTAAGAAGATAAGAAGACAGAGATCTCTGACATGATTAAGGAGCAGAGGCCTTTTTTTTTTTTTTTTTTTTTTTTTTTTTTTTTTTTTTTGAGTCACTCTTACTCTGTCGCCCAGGCTGGAGTACAATGGCACACTCAGCCACCACAGCCTCAATTTACTGGGCTCAGGTGATCTTTCTGCCTCAACCTTCCAGGTAGCCTGCCACCACACCAGGCTAACTTTTTGATTTATTGTAGAGACAAGGTCTCTCCAAGTTGCCCAGACTGGGCTTAGGCAGTCCTCTTGCCTTTGCCTCCCAAAGTGCCGGTATTACAGGCGTGAACCACCACACCTACCTTAGAGGCTATTTTATGTTGAGGCCTTGCCTTCTGTTGTGAGGTGATATGCTTGGTAATCTCAAGTAATTTTTTTTGCCCTCTCCTGGCAACTTGATTAGATAACTCTTAAGAAAGAAGGAGGAAACTTTCTAAAGAGATTCTGTTTTGCCTTTGAACTTTGAAAATAGCATATGGCATATATTATCCCTGTACTTTTGTCAGTTAATAACCTCTGACCCTTTCTTGAGCATACAGTTTTTGGTAAACTTCCAAGGATTGTTGTCATTTTGCTTTGTTGAGGTTTGTTTTTCTCCTTTTTTTTTTTTTTTGACTCCAAAAATATGCTCACCCACTCACTGCGTTTTAATACAGGCTTGTTACTTTTGTTAGGATTAAATTCAACTTAACAATGTTTTATGCAAGTCAGAAAAGAGGAGGCCTGGGTTGGTTTCCAGTTGCTTGGCTTCAAAGCAACCTTTGTCCTACTTTCCCACAGTCTTTTCTGTCCACTGTCTTGCAAAAATAGTTCCTTCTATATTTGGAGATGTCCCCTGTTTTCCTGCCTAGATTTAAGCTTTTTATTCACCCATGTACATATTACACATTGAGTAAACGTTTGTGAATTATTCTCATTAGTGGTTGGTGTTTACAGGTGATGACAGGGAATTTAGTTCACACTAATAACTTAAAACTGACAAAAAAGAATTTTTTAAGTATGGAATCTAGTGCAAAATGCATTCTGGTAAGAAAATGTGCTCTGTCAGAAATACCTATGTTGTTAGATCTGTTTAACACCAGGTTAAGCTGACAGTTATGTAAAGGCACACGTCTTAGGTAGTGCCAGGTGGTGCATGTGCAGAAGGCCAGACTGAGAGCCGCCTACCACCTGCCTATCCTGTTCCTGTAGGTGGCAGAACTGGTGAAGCCATTGTAGATGCTGCGCTCAGTGCTCTGCGCCAACTTGTGAAGGAGCGCCTCGGGGGAAGGAGTGGAGGATATAGTTCTGGAAAACAAGTAAGGCTGTTTGATGTCAGTTTTCAGCGTGTGTCATAATTTTGAAGTCTGTGTGTGTATTTGTTTTTAATTGGTGTTCAACTAAAAAATAGTAGGGAAGTTGGTCAACTAATCCCAGGGGGAGTTGGCCATCCAGTCTGCTCACTTTTTCTTCCTCAGAATCACTTTTGCCTTAGCCAGTCAGTTCCAGGGCATCTTGCCACACCTGCAGTCCAAGTACCAGCTCCCCAGATAGGCTTCCTAGGTCCCGGGACTGGAATAGAAGAATGTAGAGACTTCTTGGGGTGGGGGAGGCCCAGACCAGGGGAGCCACCTGCTGACATCTCTTGGCATTTGTAAATCCAGAGTAGGGAGGGATGGATGGGCACTCCTCTAGATCAACTTGGCAAACAGTGATGAAATGTGGGTGACCTCTTGTCCTGTATCTGTGGCAATCATCCAGAAATCCATGGAAAATTCTACACAAATGGATAGGGAAGAAGAGGAAGAGCTAGAAATTCCTTTTCAATGGATTGGTGTTGTGTACATTTTTACCTTTTTGAGTCAGTGTCTTTCTCTGTCACCCAAGCTGGAGTGCAGTGACACAATCGTGGCTCATGGCAGCCTCATTTGACCTCCCATGCTCAGGCAATCCTTCCTCCTCAGATTCCCGAGTAGCTGCGACTACAGGCACATCCCACCATGCCCGGCTAATTTTTATTTTTTTCTTTGTAGAAATGGGATCTTGCTTTGTTGCCCAGGCTAGTCTGGAACTCCCGGGTTCAAGAATTCCTCCCGCCTCAGACTCCCAAAGTGCTGGGATTATAAGTGTGAGCCATTGTTGCCTGGCATGGATTGGTGTTTTAGATGCCCTTGTATGAAATGTGAAACTTGACCAGGCGCAGTGGCTCACGCCTATAATTCCAGCAGTTTGGGAGGCCTAGGTGAGAGGATTGCCTGAGCCCACAGGTTCAAGACCAGCCTGGGCAACTTGGTGAGACCTCATCTCTACAATAAATCAAAAAATTAGCCAGGCATGGTGGCACGTGCCTATAGTTCCAGCTACTTGGAAGGCTGAGGCAGAAAGATCACCTGAGCCCAGTAGGTTGAGGCTGCGATGGCCGTGAGCGTGCCACTGCACTCCAGCCTGGGCGACAGAGTGAGACTCCAACTCAAAAAAGAAATGTGAAACTTAACACTGACTATTTATGGTCTTAGGAAAAGGCATTAAATTAAAGAAATATATTTATGAATTAGGCCTTTATCCTTTTAAGAGTCTGATAGAAAGTAGTTTCTTTATACAGACTTAGAGCTTATCCAATGTTAGCTTGCTCTTTCCTTTTTTTTTTTTTTCTCAGACTTGGACATTTAATGAGCACACTTGTCCGGGCCCCTGTCCCCATCCTATGGTTTTTAACTTGATGACAGAAAGCAATATAGAAATCCTGACTGCTTCTTGGGTTTATTACTGAAGAAAATTCTTTGGGGGGAAAAGAGATCAAATGTTATTTTTAGCTTTGTTGAGCGGTTAGGAGCTTTAACTATGAGAATATGGTAACACATAACATCCTAGTATGAAACAGCAGCTGTGCCTGAATCTGAATTAGAGCAGTGCTATTGAGTGGGTAATAGAATTCAGGGACAGAATACATATAACACTGAATGTATTAGTAATTGTTTGAAAGTAAAGACTATTCACTAAGTGGAAATAATAATACTAAAGAATGTGCTTAATTTGAATAAAACAGTTCCCACTGTTTTCTTCACTAATGGAAAAACTCCAAAATTTCATTAAGATGTAAAAATGATCATTGTTATGTATTTAAAATAGGAAAAGTGTTATTTTTGACCAAGCTGTTGAAATTTGATGTTTAATATCATAAATGACAGGGTAGAAGTGATAGTTCAAGTAAGAAGGATGTGATTGAGTTGACGGACGACACCTTTGATAAGAATGTTCTTGACAGTGAAGACATTTGGATGGTTGAGTTTTATGCTCCTTGGTGTGGACACTGCAAAAAGTAAGTGCTTTCTACCAAGTAGTCTGTTCAGTACATTCATGGAGCTCATTTTGAAAGACCTGAATTAGATTATAGGTAGTCTCCAAGATCTCCTCCAGAAAAACTCCAACTCCAAATAAATTTTAAACATTGACATTAATTCCAAGAGTTTTCACTCTTATACTTTTAAAGATTAACAAGGGACTGGCTGATGTCCAGATTTCAGGGGATTCATGAAGGACTGGGAAGTGAATGTGAAGGGTAGCATCATATCTTTCGTAAAGCTACACACAGAGCATCTGGGTGTGACATAGGGATTGGGCAGATCAGTTAAAAAATATTTGTGCTGTGAGTTAAAATGCACTTTTAAAAAATGCAGATATTTTTCTATAGCCTAGAGCCAGAATGGGCTGCTGCAGCTTCAGAAGTAAAAGAACAGACAAAAGGAAAAGTGAAACTGGCAGCTGTGGATGCAACAGTCAATCAAGTTCTGGCCTCTCGATATGGGGTAAGTATTTATAAGGCTCATTTCATTATGAAAAGCACAGTATTTTCAACTGGTGCTTCTTCCGGTACTCCAGACTTCTCTGTGAGTTTGGAGAGAAGAACTTGAACCATTTTGTAAATGAAAAGATTGAGTCACTTTATTGGAACTTGATTTCTGTTCCCCACCTCTCCCCTCCATTTTACACTACTTCTGTTATGTATGTAATATGAGGTTTCAGCTTGCCTAAGTTGTTTGTTTTGAGTTAAGATCTCACTCTGCCACCCAGGCTGGAGTGCAGTGGTATGATCCCAGCTCACTGCAGCCTTGATCTTCTGGGCTCAGGCGATCCTTCTGCCTCAACGTCTGGGGTAGTTGGGACTACAAGAACATGCTACCACACCTGTCTAATTTTTTAATTTTTATTTTTTATAAACACAAGGTCTTGCCGGGAACAGTGGCTTACACCTGTAATCCTAGCACTCTGGGTGACGGGGGCAAAAGGATTGCCTGAGGCAACATGGCAAGACCTCATTTTTTACAGTAAATAAAAAAATAAGCCGGGTGTGGTAGCGCATGCCTGTGGTTCTAGCTAGATGGAAGGCTGAAGTGGAAGGATCACATGAACCCAGCAGGTCAAGGCTGTGGTAGCTGTGAGCATGCCACTGCACTCCAGCCTGGGCAACAGAGTGGGACTCCGACTCACAACAAAAGGCAAGGTCTTGCGATGTTGCCCAGGCTGATCTGGAACCCCTGGATCAAGCAGTCATCTCACCTCAGCCTCCCAAAGTGCTGAGTTTATAGGTGTGAGCCACTGTGCTCAGCAGTTGTGTTATGTTAATAAGGTGATTTCAGAAACCATAAAGACTGCATTATTTTGTATTGAATATTCATTGGTTTAAACTCTGATCTTTTTTTAATAGATTAGGGGATTTCCTACCATCAAGATATTTCAGAAAGGTGAATCTTCTGTGGATTATGATGGTGGACGGACAAGATCTGACATAGTGTCCCGGGCCCTCGATTTGTTTTCTGATAACGCCCCACCTCCTCAGCTGCTTGAGGTAAGCTACTTCCACCCTTTATAGTAAGGAAAGTTTTTTCATTCTGATAGTGGAGGACATTGAAGGAGTCATGACACTTTTGGCCTATTCATATTTCCTCCTTTTTTAAATACTCTCAAGGGGTTTTGTACTTTCAGATGGAAAAAATTTCTGATAAGATGCTTCTTTTAATGACTTTTAGCAGTAGAATAATTGTACCGTGAGCAGAAGTATGACTTTGCTTCTTAAAAATAGAGTGGATTCAGTCGCGTGCTTGTTTATCATTCTCAAAATAATAGCTCACATTTTCTGAGCACCTAACCATGTAACAGGCTCTGTTCTAGTATTCTTATGTGCATTTTTCTCATTCTCACATGAATACTGAGAGGTAGATACTATTTTATGTCCATTTTACAAATGGGGAAACTGAGGCACAGAGTGCCTCAAGCGCATATAAATATATAATACATATAAGTATAAGCTGTCTGTTGAAACAAGTAAGTGGCAGAGCCAAGCTGTGCCAGGCATTGTGATTTCCAAGGCCCGCTTAAAAAAACCGGGGGCCCCCTTAAAAAAACAAAATTATCTTTTGGTGAGTGAGCCCCTTGTAGTACAGGCTTCCCCTGCTAGGTCAGTGTTCTAACCATCAGTTTTTAATCTGGAAGTTTTGAGAAGGTTGCATCACAATTTGCAGAAGAAATGTCCCAAGTTTTGGCAAACAGGTGATTGGGTTTTCCACCATGACAGCACACTTGCCCACACCACGCTGATTGCTTAGCAGTGTTTGACCAAAAGTGTCATGACACCCTTTCCCCACTTTCCTTATTCACTCAATCTTTCTCCAAGCGACTTATTTTTGTTTCCCTGATGGAAAAAAAACAGTCCTCAAAGGGGAACGTTTTACCAGTGTGGAAGAGGTGAAACAAAAATGGCAGAAGCACTAAAAGGCATCAAAACTGACAAGTTCAAAAACTGTTTTGAGCAGTGGAAAAAATCATTTCGATAGATATATTGCATCAAATGGGGAGTAATTTGAAGGTGACTGAAGGTTAAACATATAAGAATAAATACACAATTTTTTTATAAATGCTGGGTTTTTTTGGGTCCTCCTTCATTGCTGATGCCACAGCACCACCACAGATAGAGGGTTTAGGAATCAATAACAGAAGTCTTCTTTTATAGAGCGTTATTGTTGGTGTTTGGGAGAAGACTCTCTTTAATGAAAGTGATGGTACCGTATCTTTGTTTCCATGCTTTGGGTATTGTGTCATGCAGCATTCTGACCATCTTTTGTCATCTGGGTCCCACAGATCATTAACGAGGACATCGCCAAGAGGACGTGTGAAGAGCATCAGCTCTGTGTTGTGGCTGTGCTGCCCCACATCCTTGATACTGGTGAGACAAGCATACATGATTTCCCATGAGCTGTTTTAAGCTAGGTGTCTGAGAACACTTTCTAAATGGATTAATTTTATGGACGCCTTTATTTTACCTTTAAAAAAATTTATTTAAATCAGGAGCTGCAGGCAGAAATTCTTATTTGGACATTCTTCTGAAGTTGGCAGACAAATACAAAAAGAAAATGTGGGGGTAAGTGATTGGGCTTCTTGTTTCAGTGTCATTTGGATAGGAGCGTACTGGGCTACTTGAGCATGGCATTCTTGTGTCTTCTGTAGGATGTGTTCGTATGTTTGCTTTGCCATGTGTGAGTAATGATCATCAAGGAGGAGAGGAAGGAATGCAGGGCTCTTACAAGACTCTGTCCCCACAGCATACGTTTCTCTCCCAGAAGTCAGGTTTTATAAATGGTGGTTGGCGTGCCAGGCTAGCAAGCAGACACACGTTCCCTAATGCAGCTGAATTCCAGGATGGCTTTGAAGGCTGGATAGACAAATAGAAAATAGAAGCATGCTTCCTTACCCTCTTAGTGAGGACTGGATCTAGGCCTTTTTTTTAATTTTTGAGTTGGAGTCTCACTCCATCACCCGGGCTGGAGTGCAATGGAACGCACGCGCACAGCCACCCCAGCATCGACCTGCTGGGCTCAGGTGATCCTTCCACCTCAGCCTTCCAAGTAGCTGGAACCACAGGCACGCACCACCACACCCAGCTAATTGCAAAAAATTTGAAAGACATATTTGCCCTAAGATCAGTATGCTTTTCTAGGTGGCTGTGGACAGAAGCTGGAGCCCAGAATGAACTTGAGGATGCATTGGGGATTGGAGGGTTTGGGTACCCCGCCATGGCTGCCATCAACGCACGCAAGATGAAATTTGCTCTGCTAAAAGGGTCTTTCAGTGAACAAGGCATTAATGAGTTTCTCAGGTAATTTCTTCAGTTGTTTATTGTTTTGCCTATTTGGGGTTGTTGTTGTTGCTGCTGTTTTTGAGCCAGAGTCTCACTCTGTCACTCAGTCTCAAGTGCAGTGGCATGCTCACGGCCACCACAGCATCAACCTGCTGGGCTCAGGTGTTCCTTCCAACTTCAGCCTTCCAAGTAACTGGAACCACAGGCACGCACCACCACACCCAGTTAATTTTTTGATTTATTGTAGAGATGAGGTCTTGCTAAGTTGCCTAGGCTAGTTTAGAGCCCCTGGGCTCAGGCAATCCTCTCACCTCCACCTCCCAAAGTGCTGGGATTACAGGTGTGAGCCACTGCGCCCAGCCCTGTTGTTGTTTTTTATTTGAAACTAGGTATGTATAAACCAGGCAGTAAATTCAATTATTTTGCATTTGAAATTCCAGAGAACTGAATGTTTGTAAATTTAAGCTTTTAAATCATCTTCCTGTATGCTGTTCCCTTTTTTTTGAGTCAGAATCTTACTCCGTCACCCAGGCTGGTTTGATTCATTGCAGAGATGAGGTCTCACCAAGTTGCCTAGGCTGTTCTTGAACCTGTGGGCTCAATCAGTCCCCTCATCTTGGCCTCCCAAAGTGCTGGAATTACAGGCTTGAGCTACTGTGCCCAGCCCTGCTGTTCCTTTTTTATGGAAATCTTCATCTTGGTGGATGAGGAGAGTGCTTTGCTGGCCGCTGGCCATACTGCATGCAGTTCTGGGCACCTGGCACTGGGCTCCTTCTAGGTCTCCTAAAGGTCTCATTCAGACTAGAGGCAGCCCTGCCTCACCCTGTCTCACCCTAGTGTGCTTTGTAATACTGACCTCTGGTAATGTGATTTCCATTTCTGGGCTCTTGGAATGGAGTTCTTTGGAAATGGGTGTAGTTACTCCAACAGTGTGCAAACAACATGATAGGTTGTCAGACTCAAAAACCAATATACAGAGCTCTCTATCCGCTGCTATTCAATTCATCCTTCAATTGACCTATCATTTTTTAGGCAGCTACAAGGCATTGACCTGAGAGATTTTGTTTCTCAGTTCTTGCTTTCTTCCTTGTTCGTCTCTCAGCTGCTGCATGAAAGATACTCAGCAGACAAAAGGCAAGAGGGTTAGGATGAAAGATGAATAGTGAGAATAACATTTGAGCCTTTGCATGACTCCTGCTGCCAGCCTTCCTGCTTCACACAGAACTGTGTGTGTGTGTGTGCGCGTGTGCGCGTGTGTGCGTGTGCGCGCACACACATGCCATGTGCAGAGCCGTAGCTGTGGAGTCAGATGCCCCAGGATCACATCTCAGGTTTGCCTTGAGTGGTGACCTGGAGTGAGGTGGGAGGTGTGGAACTCACTCTGAGATGGCAGCTTCTTCAGCCTCTGCCTGGGGGCATATCTGGGCTCTTTCCCTCCCAACTTTCTGACTCTGGGCCTGGGAAAGGCTTTCCTGCACCTGTGTGTCCTTTCTTTTTCAATGGAATGCAAATAGTACCTCTGGTTGGGCTGTTGGAAAATTAAGAGAGTTATCGCCAGGAAAAGCTCAGTATAGTGCGTGGGACAGAATAAACATCTACATGCTGGCTGTTGTTTTTAGAACACTTGACCTTAGCCAGAAAGCAGGGAGGTGATACTAGCTGTTGTCTTTAAGCCATAGACTTTATCATGACTTAATAATTTGGGGAGAAAGTTTTATATTAAAAGATTTGTTGTGATCAGGTGCAGTGGCTCATGCCTGTATTCCCGGTGCTTTGGGAGGCAAAGGAGGGAGGAAGGGCGTAAAACTTAACTGGATGTGGTAGCACATTCCTGTAGCCTCAGCTTCTTGTGGGTTCTGAGTCAGAAGGGTTGCTTGAACTCAGGAGATGAAGGCTACAATGAGCTATGATCACATCACTGCATTCCAGTTTGGGCAACAGAGCAAGACTCTGTCAAAATAAAAAATGATTTGTTGTAAATCATCTCATTTAGAAATTGCTTAAACAAATGGGGAAGTAAATATATGTTAGAAGCAATATGTGACACCAAAGTATATAATAGAGCAGCAGTCCCCAACCTTTTTGGCCTCAGGGACCGGTTTCATGGAAGACAGTTTTTTCACAGATTGAGGGGCGGTGATGGTTTGGGGATGATTCCAGTGCATAACATTTGTGTACTTTATTTCTGTTATTCCTACATTGTAATTTATAATGAAATAATGATACAACTCTCCATTTTTTTAAAAAGAGGCACAGACAGAAGTGGTAAATAAAATAATGGATGGGCCGTGCACAGACTAAAAGAAGTGTTGGATTCTGACTTAAAGCATGCCACCAGCTGTACAATGAAAATACATCCGCTCACTTGCTACTCACTAATAGGGTTTTGATATGAGCCTGAAAGCCATTGATTTATTATGGTATCTCTGCAGTCAAACCTCACTGCTTATGTTAATCTGTATTTGCATCTGTTCCCCAGCACTGGTATCACCACCTCAGCTCTACCTCACATCATCAGTAATTAGATCCTTATAAGGAACATGCAGCCTATAATATATCCCTTGCGTGCACAATGCACGGTCACGTTCACACTCCCATGAGACTCTAATGCCACTGCTGATCTGACAGGAAGTGGAACTCAGGCATTATTCAAGTGATGGGGATAAAGCTTCACTCGCTCACCCACCACTCAACTTCTGCTGTGTGGCCCATTTTTGTCTTTTTGTTTGTTTGATGGTTTTCTCTCTTTTAAATTATTGTGGAAAATATCAAATGTGTACAATAGTAGAGATCCTGGGCTAAAGGACCTTTGTACTTGTTATACTCAACTAATGGTCAACCTATTTCATCTACCTACCCCCCAAGTATTTTAAAGCAAGTGCCATTCCATCTCATCTGTCAGTGTTTCAGCATGTATCTCCAAAAAACAAGGGTCAAAAACATCACAATACCACTGTTGCAATTAGAAAATAAAGTCATTCAGATTTCCTCCATCTCATTTTTATGGTTTGTCTCATTCAGTTCCCACGTGTTGAAGGTACATTGTGCTTGGTGGGTATTGCTCAGGGGGTGTTTTCATAAAGAAGTTGGAGAACTGCTTAAGTTTGTGATTGCCATAAAGTTCTATTTATTTTTGCTTTTTTGTTTTTGAGTCAAAGTCTTACTCTGTCATCCGGGTTGGAGGGCAGTGTCATGCTCACAGCCACCTCCGCCTTGACCTGCTGGGCTCAGGTGATCCTTCCACCTCAGCCTTACAAGTGTCTGGAATTACAGGCATGCACCCGTCTGGCTGATTTTATTTATTTACTTATTTATTTATTTATTGCAGAGATGAGGTCTTACCAAGTTGTCCAGGCTGCTCCAAATCCCTGGACTCAGGCAGTCCTCTTGCCTCTGCCTCCCAAAGTGCTGGGATTAGAGGCATGAGCCACCGCATCTGGCCGAGTTCTATTTATTTAATCATGAAGTCAGAATTTGACTAGAGAGAGATCTCAATAATATTTTTGGGCTGGGCAAAGTGGCTCAAGCCTGTAATGCCGGTGGTATGGGAGGCCAAAGTGGGAGGACTGCTTGAGGCCAGGAGTTCAAGACCAGCCTGGGCAACATAGTGAGACCCCCATCTCTGGGGGCTAAAAAAGAAAACACAACAATGAATGTGCTTATTTCAGCCCATTGCTGCCACTACATTTAATAGACAGTTTAGCTTAATTGTTCTGTGGGTTGTTTGATGAACTCTACGTATTTGCACCAGTAGTGTATTTAATTTGTATTTCAACAAAATACTTGGCTATTTTTAAAAACTTGATAGTAACTGACTATATTTGGTGCAGAGGCCTTAGGAATGCCACACCTAGTTGCATTGTTGTCCTTGATTTAAAATATGTTCTCAAGCTATTTTTCAGGAATACGCTGTGGCAATAGGCAACAAATGCCTCTGCACAAACATAGTAGGCAGGTGGTTAAAGTTGTTTCTTCATTTGCATCAGCACCCATTGTGTTTGTTTTGGTCTCTTTCCCCTCAGGGAACTCTCTTTTGGACGAGGCTCCACGGCACCTGTAGGGGGTGGCGCCTTCCCTCCCATCAGTGTGAGAGAGCCTTGGGATGGCAAGGATGGTGAGGTGAGTGCCTGGCAGGCTGTGCGGCTCAACTGTCCTGTTTCTTGATCCATGTGGGTGTCTGTACCTGGAAGTCAGGTCCTTTCCATCAGACCTAAGCCTTGGTGCGCCTGAAGTGTCCTTACTCTGAGCCTTCTAAGAGGTTCTTTCTCTGAAGATCCTTCATCTTTATTACATGATAAAACTGCTGCACGGCCTTTGATACTCTTGATAGGCTTCCAAGATGAATTTCAGTAGTGAGGCTGCTTTCCTGATTAGTGCTGCTAAAGTGAGCATTTAACCTGGAATTCATTTACTTTCTTAGATGTAAAACTACACCTTTGTGCTGTACTCTTTCTGATTACAACATCCTGGAAGAGTCTACCCTGCACCTGGTCCTCCATCTGAGGGGTGGCTGTTTTTTCAGTCTTGTATTCACGGTGCCCAGTGATGGCAGTACTCTGCATTGTAGTCATTTGTCCCAATTTAAGTTTAGAAATTACCAGTTTCAGTAATAGGTGAACCTGTTCAAAATGTTGATAAAGGTTTTGTTAAATTTAAAAATAAAAAAATTATTATTTATTTATTTTTTTGAGTTGGAGTCTCACTCTGTCGCCCAGACTGGAGTGCAGTGGCCACTCCCGGCCACCGCAGCCTCGACTTGCTGGGTTCCGGCAATCCTTCCACCTCAGCTTTCCAAGTCGCTGGAACTATGGACGCGCGCTACCACGCACAGCTAATTTTTTGATTTATTGTAGAGATGAGGTCTCGCCAAGTTGCCCAGGCGGGTCTCAAACCCGCGGGCTCAGGCAATCCACTCACTTCAGCCTCACAAAGCGCGGGATTACAGGCTGAGCCACCAAGCCCGGCTAAAAAATTAAAATTATAGCTTTGAAATTAGCACTTTTTTCTTTATAGTTCTGTTCTAACACCTCAAAAGGACAACTTAGATGGATTGCTTTCAGTGTTAAAGGGTTAGGGAATGTTGTGTTAGTTTGTCTCATCTGAATTATCAGCGTTTTCCTCTATGGAATAATAGACACAGAAGTAAAAAGTAGGAGCCCAATTTAGGAGAACCTGGTTTGTGATCTGGCGTACCTCCAGAAAGGTGCTTTTCTGTAAAATGAGATGTTGACCTTCCAGGGTGTCCCCATCTGCACTTCTAACGTTGGTTTTCTATCTCCCAGCTTCCTGTGGAGGATGACATTGACCTCAGCGATGTGGAGCTTGATGACTTGGGGAAAGATGAGTTGTGAGAGGCACAGTAGAGGCTGCAAACCGTTTTCTTTTCTTGGGAGCCAGAGTATTTTTTCATCAGTGAAGGAACATTCTTTACAATCAGATGAATCTACCAGTGGCCTTTTAAACCAAGAAGTAGTATTTGATTGGTCATTTGAAAACACTGCAACAGTGAACTTTTGCATCTCAAGAAAACATTGAAAAATTCTATGAATTGTTGTAGCCAGTGAATTGTATTGTATTCTATCACATAATATTTCGAAGACAACTCGGCTGTTGAAACATTTTTCCTCCCTCTGACTGCTGCTTGAATGTTCTTGGGGGCTGTTTCTTATGTATAGGTTTTTTAATGTGATACCTTAAATTGAATATTAATGGCTTTTTCCATTAAAGAATAAAACAATATTTTGGACAATGCTGATAAATGTATGAAATTAGTGTCCACATCATAAAGTCAGATTCTGATGTTTAGCCAGCAAATTAATATTACGAAGTGATGACGCTGATGTCTTTCCTCCCTATAAACTTTTTAAAACAGAAAACAAGACTTCTTTGATTCAAATAATGCCCTCTGGAAGCCCACCACAGTAGACTTCACACAGAAAATGGGGCTGTTATGTGAGAACTGCATCTTATGACCACTGTTTTGTCTTTGGGCCCCCACTAGTGACTGATTTTTTTTTAGGGAATATAGCTGATTATATAATTCATGGTTTTCTATGTTATTATGAATCTTATGGATCTCAAAATACCCATTAACATGAAATAAAGCAGCAGGCTCCCAATTGATAGGCAGGTCACATTTATGTAAAACATTCAGAAAAATGAACTCTTGAATTATGTTAGAACATAAAGGAGACAACTCAAAGGACTTGAGAGTATTTTATTGTAACTTAAAAAAAATAAATACAACTGTAACTAACTTCTGTGAGCAATTTATCTGAAAAATCTATGTAGAACATCTGAACTCTTCTCTGGCTAAGGGATTGCGGCGTCTGCTGTAGTCTACATTGAACATGAGACTTGATGCCAGCTGACCTTTCTAGTCGAGAAGACTCAGGTCGATATGGAAGTAGACATAGGGAAAATAGTCTTGGTTACTGAGTTGCAATCCAGGGATCTCTACTGATGCCTGTGAAAGGAGACATGGTAATGTTCTGAATGTGTGATAAATACACATACTTTTCCTTTTAAGAGATGAGGTTTTTGCTATGTTGACCAGGCTGGTTGCAAACTCCTGGCCTCCCAAAGTGCTAGGATTACAGGCATGGGCCACCACACTCAGCCTTTAATTCATATTTTTAAGGACATTCTCCAGGCACTGACCATGCCCTGCATAACTGCGGCCCACCTCCCAACCCCTTTCTTGCTATGCTTTTATGTTTGTGACATGTAGATTTTTCACAACAGGCTGGAAAATGCCATTTTTAAAAAAGTATCTCCCATACTTTCTACAGTAAGATGCTGACTTTGCTGTAGAAATGCTGCCGTTTCTGGATTCTATAGTTTCTGGATTTTATACCTACATCCAGTATACTTGCAGCGGCCACTTCATCCAGATGTCTGAAGACAGAGTTTAGAACCTCTCTTAAGCGCTTGGTGGATGACTTCTTATGTGGCTGCAGGAGCACTGCCTGGAAGTTCACTGGCAGTCCATACCTTAGATAGACAGAACATGTCAGTATGCCACTCCGAAGGCAAACATTAAATGAACCTGCAAAGCTTCAACCAACGCATCTTAAGAAAACAACTCAGTCAGGCCAAGTGTCTGGGGTCAGAGGTGCTCTCTGGCTAGGGAAGCTTACCCCTTTCTGATAGCAATCACTTTGATTACAGAGCAAAGATGTCATCCCACTGACAAGGAATGACTGCTGCAGTGTGTGCCTGAGTTGAATGGAGGCAACTGTCTAAAACCTGGGCTTAGCTGTTTCTTCACTGAAGGAGAGAGGCCCAAAGAGTAGTTATCAAGATTGTGAACAAGTAAAGTTCACTGAGTTTTGGGATGGAGAGAAGACATTTTAAACATACCTGGTTGTCTGAGCACGTTTAAAACCACTTGGGATGGGCTATTCCTGTGGGGTTTTCCCAACACAATTTAAATACTTGTATCGAGTACTGTAAGTGGTAAACGTGCATTTGGCAGTTGTCAAAATATTTTTCTACTACCAATGGTCAAAAGCATGGATGTTCAATATTGGCACCTGTTTTTCCTCCTGCTCCCCAAGCCTTGGATGTGAGCACGGTCCTTAAGATGCCCCGTCACCCACCTAGTGTTCTGCTCCTTTCAGGCTGGAACCGGCCTTGTGAGTGAGTCACAGGGGCAGGGTCTGTTCATAAAACTCAGGTTTGTTCTTCAGTGTCTGTAAATTATCCCCGGGGCTCCTAAACCTTCCCATTCCTCATTTGGTGCAAAGTATTCCCTGCAGTGCTGAGCGCTGCCACTGGATATGCTGGAAGGTCACAGAAACCTCAGGTGCTCCTGCTTCCACAGACCAAGCACCAGACCAACCTAGATGTCTTGCCCGTCTCCAAGAGGCAAGTGCCCCAGAGGCTGGCAGCTGTTGGCAGGGAAAATGGTGACACCTGGATAGATCACAGGTGAGCAAGGGCCCAGTTGACCAAATCACCAAAGCTCTGGTGTCAGCTGGGGAAATGAGCAGAGGCTGTAGTACTTCCTGGAGGGCTGAGCGACCTTGAATAATGTGACCCTGTCTCACCTTCCCCATCTAACTCCCAATGCTGTAAACAAGCACTCACCACCCTCGACTTCAAACGATTCCACCTTATTCCCGGGAAGCTCAGGATGCTTTGCAGCCTTCCCAGATGGCAGACAGCCATCAACCCCATGCCCCAGGCCACGTGCCTGCCAAGGGACTGGGAGTCTAGCTCTCCGCGCCACTGCTAGACCTCGCTCTGCCACCCAGACACAAGCACTCCCCTCTGCTGCCCTGCCCGGCCATCCCACCAGTCATAGCCAGGTTGCCCTGGGGGTGGTTTATCTGTCTTTCTGAACAAGGGTCCCTCTGAAGCGCCTCCTTCACCAACCTGAGCTGCTTGCAGCAAAGGTCTGTGTCTATTTGCTTTGTTCATTGGGGTGTCCCGGTGTCTAGCGAGTAGGTACACCATCAACACTCACTGAATGTTGATCCAACATACTTTGTCCTGCTCTTGATCCCTTCTCCTCAGCCTCCGGGCTCTCCCAAGACCCTTCCTTCCAGTCCCTGCCCCCTCCCCGTGGCACTAGTTCCGCTAATGCCACCTCTGGATCTATTTCGATGAGCATCATCTCTGTTCTGCCCAGACCCGGACTGCCAGGCATGGCTGGCCAGTTCTCCCCACTCATCCTCCTCAAGGCCCTGCCCCATCGAGGACACTGCCTTTCCCTCCTGATCACTGAAGTCTCCTGGTGGGGAGCTGTCCACACTGGCAGTGATTGTAGCCAAACCACCTCGCCCTTCCGCTGCAGCCTTTCCTACTGCCCCTCCCCTTTATCAACATCTTGCCTGTTAACATAACAACTTTGGCTCCCAGCCTAGCATGGTGGCTCACGCCTGTAATCCCAGCAGTTTGGGAGGCAGAGAGGGGAGAATTGCTTGAGACCAGGAATTTGAGACTAGCTTGGGCATCATAGCAAGACCTCGTCTCTATACAAAAAAAGTCAAAAAATTAGCTGGGTGTGGTGGCACGTGCCTGTAGTCCCAGGTACTCAGGAGGTGGAGGCGGGAGGATTGCTTGAGCCCAGTAGGTCGAGGCTGCAGTGAGCTGTGATCATGCCACTGCACTCCAGCCTGGGTGACAGAGCGAGACCCTGACTCAAAAACACACAGAAAAGTTAGCTCCCTCGAGTTCTCACACCACCGATCTTCCTTGAGAACCAAATCTGAGAGCATCTGATGTCCCGTGTCACTTGCTTCTTCAACCACCGCCTTCCAAGGCTTCTCCACCAATGATCTCCTCATGGCCAAATCCAGGGGACACCTAAAACGTGCTCCTTTCACTGCATGGGTTGCTTCCTCCTCCTGCCTCAGGAGGCTCTCTGCCTCCACTTGCTCCTTAAAATGCCAGGTGTCCCTCTGGCCCCCCTCCCCCTCTGCGACTCTCCTGGGAGATCCATCCACTCATCAGCCACTGGAGATGCTCAAATACCTGCTCTCCACCACGAGCTCTCCAAGCACCCAGAGCCAACAATCCAGCCACCTGGTCAGCCTCAGAGCCTCACCGCAGCCCCACCACCCACCGATTTTCATCTTGGGCCATTTAAGTACCTGGTACACTTCATCCATGAGGACCAGTCAGTACTTCCCCAACTGGAGGCTGTGTCTGCTTTACACTGATTTTATTCAGTCAACAAACATTTTGTGTCTACTCTGTTCAACTCTGGATGGGTGACAGAGACAGAAGAGCCAGACACAGTGCCCAGTGCCAGAGTGAAAAGAGAGAGCTTTGAGACAGTAACTGCCAAAAGGGGCAAAGTCCATGGGAGGCCAGTGGAGCAGGAAAGCAGGGGTCTCACCTCTTCCTTTCTCACCCATGCACCTGGCTCTAATTAATTGGATAGTTCAACACCCATTTTTTTTTGAGTTGGAGTCTCACTCTGTCACCCAGGCTGGAGTGCAGTGGTATGCTCATGGCACCCCAGTGTCGGCCTACTGGGCTCAGACGATCCTTCCACCTCAGCCTTCCAAGTACCTGGAACTATAGGCACGTGCCACCACGCCCAGCTGATTTTTTGATTTATTGTAGAGACAAGATCTCACCAAGTTGCCTAGGCTGGTCTTGAACCCCTGGCCTCGGGCAATCCTCTCTCCTCGGCCTCCCAAAGTACTGGGATTACAGGTTTGAGCCACTGCACCCAGCCTTTCTTTTTTTTTTTTTTT